TTACATAAAAAATTTGAGAGCGGTTTGAATCAGTGTGACGATTTCTTTAATGAACTGAATTGATCAGACCTTTTACTCAATTGAACAACATCTGACTCACTGAACTGAACATTATGGACACCATGTAATCACATAGACAAATCTACGTGTCAGCAGACCTACTGTTACAGAATCTTCAAGCTGTAAGTCCAACTCACCATCTAGTAAAGTAAAGATACATAAACAGAGAGTTAAGAATATAGAAAGAAAAGGACATGAAGAGCGAGCGTTTGAGGGCAAATAACATCAACACTCCCCCCAGTTTTCCTTCATTCTTCACTTATCCATGGAAAGATTGAAGTAAAGTCACTGGCCACAGAAGAAGATAAATCAATTGTGACATTTCTGGATGGAACGTTTTGCATTTAATTAGCGTGAGACATGCTGGAGAATGCTGAATTATCTGAAGACATGCCTGCGTAGAGCAGCAGTCAGGTTGTCTGTTAAGACCCTCCGCGATCAGTTATCAGGACGCACTGTCCATTTATTCTGCAGGTTCACTTAATTTCGCTCAGCGGTCTCTTGTAAGGCGCCGGACATCAGATACCTAATTATTTGTCTGCTAGCTGAAGCTGCCGGATCTCAGCAAAAGCCTTGATTCTGCTAACAAAATCCACTTTCCATCCTGAACGTCTGATATAGCTGAACCGGTTTAGCAGTTCTGATTAGCATAGGCTCGTCAATCTGGTAGACAAGGCAAAGAGTTAGACAGTGGGAATGAAGTAAAGTCTCTTACCTTGTTTCAAACACTCTTGTGGGTAGATCGAAAACACCTCTCAAAACCAGCCTGGAACAATATTTGGCACCGAGGATGGATCATTACATGACCCCTCAGGCCTGCGAACAGGGAGCAGTATTGACTTTGCGAGTCCCAATGGCCGTGTATCTTTGCTTGCTCTTCTTTGGTGTATAAGAACTATAGAGTTGGATAATAGGGGATCTGAATCTTCCTGTAAAGGAGGTTTATTGATCGCGACCGCGGTCAGACCCCTATTTGTACAGCTGGTATTAAACGCTCCCACCTCTCTATATTTAAAGGTTGATAAAAAATACATGGACTGTGGCAGTAATGGTTTATATAACAGAACTCAGACGATTAAGCCATCGTTTTAATGTGTGTGTACACAGAACGTCAGTGTATTTCCCTTCAGACGTATCCTTTGCCCTGTTCATAAAGACAGTGGTAAGAGAGCAAAGGAGGGAATGATTCGTTGATTCACTGATATCACAGAAAAAGATACTCACCCTGCGTCTCAATGTTCATACTATCCATCCTAAATAGTATGTGAGATTAGAATAAGTGTGTCCCAAAGCATAGTATGTTGAAAAGAGTATGCCAAAGAAGAGCAAGCATGAAGGTCCATCAGTGGGGTGTAAACAGATCATACGGAAACATACACATTGTATGAATTCATAATTATCCAGGTAAATGAAAGCGTGTTGCATAAAGGGGGTGATTTTGGACGCAGCCAAACAGTCTCACTAACAATCTCTTTAGTGAACTGAATCAAAACACTGAGATTATTCAAAATCTCTACCACTATTGAAAAAGCCTGGGTGAAGCAAGTCAGTTCAGTTGCCGGATATCTCAGTGATGCCTCTGCCCAGCTATTTATGTAAGCACGTTATGTTCCAGAAACATTTCAAATGAGCAATAAAATCTGATAACAGTATGATTCAAAATCGCTATATCTCTATATATTCCTTGGCTTCTTAATTAACCATGCATGCATGGCACTGACTGCACAAATTTAGCTTGGCTGACACTTTCAAGTGAGACTGTATGGTAAAGTGCACACTTGTTAAGCAAAGGTTCTCAACTAGGCCAATAGGAAACAAATTGTGTTTATCTTGCCCTGTGAGAGTTCTCTCTCCCTCTGTTGCTTAATCTGAACTGTAGATTCAAACACACACACTTGTTTGGGTTTGCCTTCATGTCCTTAGCTCTTCTCGGTCTCTTGTTTGCATCTCTCTCTCTCTCTCTCTCTGTCTCATGAGCGGAACTGCACTGAGGGGGTCAATTACTCTACAGCCAATTTGTTAGCCATGCATTCCTGACTGTGCAGCCCCTGACTAATACATCACAGCCATGTGGAGTGGTTCACACAGACCACACACACTGCCGTGTCTGAAAGTCACAAGAGTTATCATTTATAAGATCTAAATTTGTTATCTCTCATTTATGGAAAATTATTGTGTCGCTATATGCCATCTATGAACTGGAAAGACAATACAGAATATTCTGTTCATTCAGAATATTCAGTAGAGTATTCAGTTTTCAGTTACAAACTAAGTCAGTATGATATTCTGATCAGTAGCAGGGTTATTGTAATTAAATCCAAAACCAATAAAAACCACTTTTGTTACTTGAAATAAAATAAATGTTAACTGAAATAAAAATTTAACTTATTTTATTGTAGCTATATAGTTGCAAAAACAAATATCATTTTCATTTAGTTTAACTTAATACAAATTATTAAATGAATAAAAATTATGAAAAAATATGTAGACATATAAAAAAACAAAAATAATAATAATAAAAATGCCAAAACCACAACAAAATGACTGAAACTTTAAAATGAAAATGAAAAATTTAAAACTATTCTCAAGTCGACCAAACTTCAAATTTTAAGGCGCCACAAACACTTAATTTTATAAGTTGAAACAACATTTTTTAATATCTCAGTGTAATATCTCAATGATACTAAATTAACACTGATCTCTAGATATGCTCAGGTTCCTCCTTCAATGTAAATTTATGGGATTTTTCACCCCTTTTATAATCAGCCAGGTGGAAATCATAATTTCATTCATTTAGAAAAGTATAGATCACCTCTCCTCAAAAGTTGCATGATTTGAGTTATCATTCATCAGTACAGTATGATGTCAGAAGTGTTGCCCTCTTCAGTATCCCACTGGACATCTGCTCTCAGGCGAAGCAACGAGAGAGACAGAGCTAAGATGCGGTTCTTGAGACAATGTGGAGATGAAGACAAACTCCAAATGTAGTTTCTATGGTTCTGTTATATGACTATTAATAGAGCAGCAGACTTGAGACAGGACACAGACAGATTAGGGGCTCAGAGTCAGTGGGCACGATGGGTTATGAAACTAGTACAGAACTCACTCTCCATTGAGAAGCTTGTGTATTTTTCATGTGTCATATGCTGCGGGGATCAATGGGAGTAATTAATAGCCTACATTTTGGTGTGCACACATATACACACGCTTTATAATCTACAAATGTTTTTTGTTGCATCACTTGACACGATCTTTGCTTTCACTGTTGTGATTTTTATATAAAAAGGTGTCTGTTCAACCCCAGACAGACGCAAACCAACAGGAGATTATCTTTGTCTTCCTCTTTTTCCTCCTCTTTATCTTTCTCTATCGTCAGTGCTTCTTCTCCAGCCCTCTGGGCCACAGTGATGAATAAAGATGGCTCATATAAGTTCCGATCACCATGGAAACGCAGCACTCCCAGGGATTTAAGAGAAAGAAGCTGACGCCCAAATCTGTGAGGAATGTTCCGGCACGCTCCAGAGGAGCTCAGTACAGCTATGCCTCTCTCTCTCCTCACTACGCCACACGGAAAAACACACTCTGTAACACTGCCATGCCGCCAGAGGAAGTGTGCATGTGCTCTTGAGTTTTCTGAGGCGATAGAGGGATGGTGGTTTTTAGAAGAAGATGGAAGTGATGTGCTCTCAGGATAATTGTGGCTTTTAAAGCAGGTACGGAAGAACCGGAAAGGCTTGGAATGCGAGTCTTTCTTTTAAATGCGTTATAATCTACACTTTGTCCACTCTTACAGCCTCTTGCAAAAAAAAAAAACATTTTCCAAGATATGGCCAAGATATTTCATAGAAGTCTTAAAGGTGCAGTAGCAAAAATGATGAATTTAATTGTAAGGGTCAGTCGGAGGGTGGAAAAAGTCATAAAAAGCTAAAGAATATTTGTTTTGCTGCTAAAAACTTTACTAACATTTTAAATATATATATTTTTTAATTAACATATAATCATATAATAAATTATAACAATTATATTAAATAATATAAATGAGAAATAATATGTATATAGCTTAATTAAGTGGTCTAGGCATATTTTATACTTTTACATACATATCTTAAAAGTTCTTAAAATAAAAAAAAATTAAATAAAAAACAAAAACAAAAAAAAATAATGTTTATTTTTGGTGCACTAATATAGCACCGATCTCTATATACGTTTCAGGTTCCTCCTTCAATCCTAAATCTATGGGATTTTTCACCCCTTTTATAATCAGCCAGGTGGAAATCATAATTTCATTCATTTAGAAAAGAATAGATCACCTCTCCTCAAAAGTTGCATGATTTGAGTTATCATTCATCAGTACAGTATGATGTCAGAAGTGTTGCCCTCTTCAGTATCCCACTGGACATCTGCTCTCAGGCGAAGCAACGAGAGAGACAGAGCTAAGATGCGGTTCTTGAGACAATGTGGAGATGAAGACAAACTCCAAATGTAGTTTCTATGGTTCTGTTATATGACTATTAATAGAGCAGCAGACTTGAGACAGGACACAGACAGATTAGGGGCTCAGAGTCAGTGGGCACGATGGGTTATGAAACTAGTACAGAACTCACTCTCCATTGAGAAGCTTGTGTATTTTTCATGTGTCATATGCTGCGGGGATCAATGGGAGTAATTAATAGCCTACATTTTGGTGTGCACACATATACACACGCTTTATAATCTACAAATGTTTTTTGTTGCATCACTTGACACGATCTTTGCTTTCACTGTTGTGATTTTTATATAAAAAGGTGTCTGTTCAACCCCAGACAGACGCAAACCAACAGGAGATTATCTTTGTCTTCCTCTTTTTCCTCCTCTTTATCTTTCTCTATCGTCAGTGCTTCTTCTCCAGCCCTCTGGGCCACAGTGATGAATAAAGATGGCTCATATAAGTTCCGATCACCATGGAAACGCAGCACTCCCAGGGATTTAAGAGAAAGAAGCTGACGCCCAAATCTGTGAGGAATGTTCCGGCACGCTCCAGAGGAGCTCAGTACAGCTATGCCTCTCTCTCTCCTCACTACGCCACACGGAAAAACACACTCTGTAACACTGCCATGCCGCCAGAGGAAGTGTGCATGTGCTCTTGAGTTTTCTGAGGCGATAGAGGGATGGTGGTTTTTAGAAGAAGATGGAAGTGATGTGCTCTCAGGATAATTGTGGCTTTTAAAGCAGGTACGGAAGAACCGGAAAGGCTTGGAATGCGAGTCTTTCTTTTAAATGCGTTATAATCTACACTTTGTCCACTCTTACAGCCTCTTGCAAAAAAAAAAAACATTTTCCAAGATATGGCCAAGATATTTCATAGAAGTCTTAAAGGTGCAGTAGCAAAAATGATGAATTTAATTGTAAGGGTCAGTCGGAGGGTGGAAAAAGTCATAAAAAGCTAAAGAATATTTGTTTTGCTGCTAAAAACTTTACTAACATTTTAAATATATATATTTTTTAATTAACATATAATCATATAATAAATTATAACAATTATATTAAATAATATAAATGAGAAATAATATGTATATAGCTTAATTAAGTGGTCTAGGCATATTTTATACTTTTACATACATATCTTAAAAGTTCTTAAAATAAAAAAAAATTAAATAAAAAACAAAAACAAAAAAAAATAATGTTTATTTTTGGTGCACAAACATATAGAAGTCAAAGTTATAGTAGCAAAATTTTTTTATTTAATTGTAAGGGTCAAAGAGAGGGTGGATAAAGTAATGAAAAGCCAAATTATATTTAACTGGAGAAAAAAAAACTTAGCAACATT